TGCGGTGATATTGAGCTTATGAAAGATCATGTATGCAGTCTTTTGCTACTAATACAAATCAATGCAGTCAACATTTTCACTTCAAACTCACACTTGAAATGTAAATGTTCAATAACTATCGGTGCAAATTGAAATAGCCTATGCGTTGAGCGGATTTACTGTAGCTTAGCTTGAAGAAGGCTCGCATTTCTAATGTGCAGGACTTGTATCACATCATAATTAATGATCCTGCTGTATTATAGCTAAACAAGAGTCATCTCGTCAAGTATCCACTTTTCCGAAAGTGCCATCGGGAGGTCTGTAATGTTTAGGAAAGGCCTTCAGCTGCAGAAAGTTAAAGGCATACTTGCGACATCCAACGTTCTTCATGGTATTCTCACGGCGGCAGCCCTCACTGGTAGGGGAAAGGGGCGGGATTGAGTGTGTGAAAACAAGTAGAAAACAAACAGAACATGAAGCCATGTTTAGAAAAATCACAAGCAAAAATTAGCACAGCCACAAAAGATGGCAGCAGACATCTCAGCAGTGTTATGAGCATGAGTATTATGGGTGAACATAGAATGAGGGTGGCGAAAGCAAATAAACGAACAAACCACGTCAAAAACATACGTTGAAAATGCTAATGTTTTTTAGGTAGCACACAGGCAGTTAATGCTCTGAAGCAAATTTGACAGAAATGAAAATAAATCTTTAAGATCAGCAGGCTTCATTGGTTGTGTATTAGGGTATGGTAAATAATGACATTTGATCAGGCCAACTATTGCACATGTCCCTCTTATTGGGATTCTAAAAATTCTGTTTTACAACCGCACATAACGTTTTAAACAATGAATATATTCTTTCAAAAATGTGCTTACACATAAATATCTTAGTAATATTTATATAATAACAATAAAGCAATTCATAATATAAACTTCTTTAGTGAGTCAAGTGTTGTAACAAATGTAAACGATATTAGTTAGCATGGTTTGGTACGATTTACTCAGGTGTAGGCCTTTATCTACCAAACTGACCAGTTAGAAATGAAACATCAGTGCAATGTGTCGTTCTCATGTTGTTTCAAACCCATATGACTGACTTTATTCCAAGGAACACAAAAGGAGAAATTCTAAAGTGTTCATGCTGCTTCATACAGTGAAAGTGGATCAGAACAGAACCAGAGGCTATCAAGCTCTGAAAAAAAGCAATATAAAAGTAGTATGACTAGTGTGATGAACAAAATTATATTTAAGTTATTATTCACTGAATAATCATGTGAAAAATTTTTTTTTACTGAAAAGAGCAGCTTGGACACTCTACTAAATATCTCCTTTTAAATTCCACTACAGAAAGAAACATACAAAGGTATGTAAATGATCACAGACTTACCATTTTTGCATTAATTGACCACTTAATATTAAAAATAAAAAATGTTATTCTAGTGAATTCTGAAATCAAAATGGTTCCTTGCCAGAGACCTTTTTAGTTTGTGACTAAAAGAGCATGATGCTCTATTCACATGCTTTAGTAAAACGAGGTAGAGCTAAAGAATTTATTTGTGATATTTGAGTAAAAGGTTATATTTCAAATACTGTTTAAAAATTTTCAAATGTTGTAAGAAGCATAAAAACAACACTGCATATGTTTGGATTCTCAGAGAATGAAAAATAAAAACAAAAGAGCTGGCTCTGAGCACATTCATTATTCAAGCAAACCTAACGAGTCCACCAAACTATTCCCTAACCCAAGATACTTATTTATTTCCCAAAACATTCAACAACATAGTCCATCAATTCAAACCTACAACTTATCTCTAAAACTATGACTGCAAAATGTATCCAAAAATGTTTGATTTTTATGGCTGCCACTAGGGCTGTGCAATATATCGAAATTATCGAAATATTGCAAATGTACATATCGCAATATGCATATCGCTACAGCTTGCAATATTTGGGGCCATGAACAAAAGACAAAGAGAAAATCACTCACTGCTCTTACCTAAATAACTTTTGTAGCTTAAATAAGAATCAGTGCATATTGAATTCAAAGAGGAAATACTAAGCAGTGTTTTATTTTTCCTTTTTATTATTCAGTTTCTAAACTCATGTTAAAATGATTACACTAATGTTAAAATGACATTTTTATGTAATGCTCAAGTAAAACACTATCGTTCACTTTCAGAAGTTGTTGTAGGGGGGCTTTCTTATTAGAATCAAAATCAGAATGAGTTTTATTCACCACTTAAGTGGGCGCAAACACAAGGAATTTGTTGTGGTTTTACAGGAACTCTTGGTACATACATATATACAAATAACCATATATATATATGGTTCACAGAACTGACTCAGCAACAGCTGAGTAAAACGGTTTCATTTGAGCATGTGGCACTTTAAGCATTATCGTATCGCATATCGAATATTGCATTATTTAATGAGTTATCGCATTTTTCTTCAATATCGCACAGCCCTAGCTGCGTCAAGAAAAGCATCTAGTACAGCATTCTATTTAGAATGCTATATATATTCGGTTGAACATTGTAACCATTCACAAACATGTATGTTGTGTGAATCAGTCATATTTTTTTGTAATAACTTGCAGATGTGTTTTAATATAAATTTGATCAATTAAATTCATAATTGAGATTGCACTATCATGGGAAATAATCAACAATTTTATAATCATGCAGCCCTACCTAAAACCAATGATCAAACTTTAAAACGATCAAAACTAAATTGAGATCTATCCTTAAATTCGATTTGTTAAAACCTACCAGTGATATTCAGCCAAACCTTAGGCAGTATCTGTCCCTGTCTAACCTATGAAACTTCAAAATCAGTCAGCAAAACCTTTCTCCAACTTATTGTATAAGACATCGTACTCAGAAAACAGCTTGAAACATTATCAAACATGATTTAAAACAAACAAGGAAAAATCTGGAAGTTATCTCTGACATTTTTAAGCAAACGAAGCAAAAATAGACTCACAGAGCCACAACATCATTATAAATGAACCCCTTCAGCATCTCAAAGGGAGATATTTTGGGACAGTCAATTTCTTTAGTGGGTCAGATGAAATGCACACTTTTCTGAATGTTATTTTTTATATATAAAGTTCTTGCAATGGGCAGCTCTTTAGAGCATGTAAGCTCAAGCAGTGCTAACTTGTAAACAGCAGATGTACTGGCCGTGGCATGTGGCCAGACAAATTTTTACAAAGCACAGAGAGGCCATTTCTAATTTGGCACAAAGGGAAGCACAATTAAACTGAGTTCTGTAAAATTCTCTCATGGTAAACTTTTACATATAAAATATATATATTTACATATAAAGAAAGGAAGAAATCTGATGATTTGCAGCCTGCATGTTATGATTAAGAAACAAAGTGATTCGTTTTGGTAAAACAACATACATTCTATTCAGCATTACTGCATAAGTGTCTTTACTTAAAGCAACATGTGGATGCTATTGTCATCTAAACGGATACATCTTAAGAGACTGTTCCAGATTTGACACAAAGATTTAACTTACACCATCTAGCATGCCATTTATGCCTCAATTTGAAAAAAGAAACTAATTTACATTAATACACTTACAATGGAAGCTGTACATGGTTGTTGTTTTTCAAAATTGTGCATTTCAATGTTAGACTTTAGTGCATTCATGTAAATAAGGTTGTTTGTTTTTACAAATTGAGAGATGAGCCGCAATGATCTTTTAAACGATTGCATGCCCCAGATGTGGTCAACGGATCTTGTGCTGAACCCGGAACATTCCTTTACACAAAATTCCTATTAAACCTATTGCCATGTACCTCCTGTCAGCTGACAGTGAAAACATCCTTTAAGACGTTAAACAAAATCTTGATGAAAATCAATTCTCAAGTGCATATTTAGATTTCCCTGACTGAAAATACAATCTTATTTGGCCAAATTTAATGGGCTCATTGGAAAGGCTGCAAACAGGTTAGTGCAGACCAATCTTGGTAAAAGAGCAACATGTGTTCTTCCAGCCAAACATGGGAAGACGTGGACACACTTAATACCCTAAAGTGCAATACTTTTTAAAGCAAGTGTGATGATAGGTGAGATTAGCTTTGGTCAGGCCTTATATTTGCATTTAGATAGAAACACATGGAAGACGCAACAAAATCGACCACAAAAATCACTGGAAAATTCCATGATACGGTTACAGAATAACAATATCTCATTATAGAGTGCAACAGTCGGGTTCCAGAAGTAAAAATCTGTTAATTTTCTCCATAGGGAAATTAATTTTTAACGATGACTTATAAACCTTTAAAGACAGAAGTACAGTGAGTTGAGATCGAATGGCATATACTTTTGTTGAAGTCATCTTTTCGCATGATTCTGTGCAGAAAATTCCACCAATCAGAGATTGGCAGCGAACAAATTGCGGCAAATGTGTTTGTGGTTAATGCCCAATGCCATAAAACACTGCAAATGATATATTTGATTTGCTATGCTGTCAAAATACTTATTGCATATTTTGCAATAAACTTGTAAAATAAGTTAATAATCAACTTTAAATTAGTAGTTTCTATTCTTCCTCAATTGTTTTTAACTTGATTGTCATTTGCAATGCTTCATGGGATTGTAGTTCTTTCCCTCACTAAAACGGTTAAGCACACAGTTTTGTACTTTTGTCTTTTGTCCAATTTCGATTACTTTTTTTCATTTTTTAAGTTCATGATGTTGTGATTCGCCTTGTAGCTGCTTGGCTTGCTACATGGCTTATAATATTTTAAACACTTTTTTGAAAATTCCTATGGGAAACAAAAAGTGTGGAAAAAAACAAACATACGGAACAAACGCCGCTGAAAAAGTGTGCGGGCACTAATGCACTCTATTATATACACATTGAATTGACCACTAGCACAAATATGCATGTGTCAAAAATAGTTTGTTATAATAACACAAATAAAACAGTTCAATATTATAAGAATAATTAGTATTGAATAAATAAATCAATGTGAAATCTTAAATATATATATGAATATCTATTTTCAATTAACCCTCTAAAATAATCAGAATATTTGTTATATGTCACAAATTATTTTACAAACTTTTCTCATCCATGATTACTTGAGCAAGAGAGAGAGAGAGAGAGAGAGAGAGAGAGAGAGGTAAGGCAGAAATGACCACCAAGACCTTTAGATTGGCTGTTAGAGAGAAGAGCTGTACAACCACAAAGAATTCAGCATTGTCTGCACACAGCTCCTCACCCAGAGGACGAAGAAACAGAAAAACAGAGAAAGGAAGTGCTGAGATAGCCAGGGTGAGGGAAAGAGAGAAAGAAAAATGGAAAAGGGGGTCTCAGGCTCAGCTGCAGCGGAGTTTGGCCAGCAGGTAGGCTATGCTGAGGAACACCCAGACGATGAGCAGGTTTGGGCTCAGGGCCAGAAGGGGCAGAGAGTAGAGCAGACTGGGGTCCAGCCTGAAGTCACGTACGGGCAATAAGCCGCTCAGGTTCTTCTGAGTTACCCCCTCCCTGGTCCCAATGCTGCAGAGAGGGGCAGGGACGAGGGAGCGGCAGCAAGGGCCAGAGAGGACAAACAGAATGGGGCGACATGCACAGGATGGTGACATGACCATTGGGGTGGTTCCAACATGAATGTAAAGAAAAACGAAACGAAAAATTAATTGCAGACACGATGAAAAGGTCCATCCGTCAGATGTGGATGCAAACAAAAAGTAAATCCGACATAAAACAGACAATGTGAATTAGGAAAAAGAAACAGAAGGGAAGGAGAGAGAATAAAGAAAGAGAAAATTAAGAGTGATGTTCTGCATCTCTGCCGTTTAAAGTAAAGAAAGTTTAAGAGATGGGTTCTCCATGTTGGACAGAAGGGGGCATATGTAGGGCTGCTGCTGCCATGCAAATCAAGCGTGCTGTGTCCTCCCAGCATGCAACAGGCCAACAGAGCCATCATAACAAACCAACTGCGAACATAAAAACAATCTTGTGTACAGTGTCTCTGCATCCATCTGTTTTGCATCCAGGTTTGTGAAGGAGAGTACATTTTTAGGTACAGATAGACTGCTGGCTTTCTTTGAGATTATTCATTTCAAGTCACTCAGCCTCATACACACAGGGGACAGCAGCACAGCACAGTGGCAGATCATGCACAGTGCATTGTGGGTAAAACTTTACCTTAACATCCAATTTATTAACCTTGGTTAATGAATTAGATATTGAACTAACAATGAAGAACATTTTTACAGCATTTATTCTTACCTTACCTACTTTAGGTAAGGTAAGAATAGGGTTATTTTTAGGTTTTTAATTTATAAATTCAATATTCTTTACTTTGTTTGAATACTTTATCAAATTTATACAAATCAAAATGTTTTATCGACTACCATTCAAAAGAATGGGGTCAGTAACACTTTTTATTGTCTTTTAAAGTCTCTTATTCCTACCAAGGCTGCATTTATGTGAACAAACATACAGTAAAACAGTAATATTGTGAAATTTTATTACAACTTTTTTAATAAATATATTTTAAAATGAAATGTATTGCTGTGATGGCAAAGTGAAAATTTCAGCATCCATTACTCCAGTCTTTAGAGTCAAATTATCCTTTAGAAATCATTCAAATATTCTGATTTGGTGATTTCTTATTATTGTCAGTGTTAAAAAGAGTTGTGCTGATTGATATTTTTGTGGAAACCATGTAACCTTTTACATCATAAATGTCTTTACTCTCACTTTAAATCAACTGAATGTGTCCTTGCTTAATAAAAGTATTAATTTCTTTCAAAAAAAGTAAATCTTACTAACCAAACGGCGGTGTACGTAGAAGTTAACATTATCTAGAAGAATATATGCTGTAAACTGTGCATTGCTAGTTTATGACACCCAATGCATTAACAAATGTAAATGAATTAAAACTTATTGTAAAGTGTTACCACTGAGTATTTACTGAGACTCTATAAAACGGCAACAAAACCTTCCTGTACTCATCTTGTCTCTTTCATCAGCTTCAACAGGACAGATAAACAGTTTTCTGTACAAATTTAACTACAATGTTTTTAGATCTATCCTTAGATTGCACAGGAGACAAGAGGAGACAATTATGTGAAAAAACTGACAATTTCATACCCTTATTTATAAGCACAGAGCATCTGGCAAGCACACAGTTAAACAAATCAGCATATTAAGTTTCAGCAGTTTCCTCACACTCTACAGGAGCAATTTATTTGTGTTTACACCTCTCGTGGAGAGAAGGGATGAAATATGGAAGTGTGGAGTGGGAAGGAACAAACACCCTAAACAAGTGAGTAAATATAAAATTAATGAACATATTAGGCCACATAAGCCACAAAGCAATAAAGACAGAAAAGTGTTACTGAAAACACCAAGAAGCCACAAGCAATGAGGGATGATGCATTGGAGGGGATCCTTCAGAGAGAAAGAGAAAGGAAGAAAAAAGAAAAAGAAAAAGAAAAAGAGAGGCACATCCCCAAAGCGTGCGATGCTTATGAATTGAAGTGCAGGCAGTTGTTCAGGAGTCTTACCTGCGCATGCAGTCGAGGGCCTGGGTGAAGACCTGCGGGGCCATGCCATGCTCGTGCTGCAGGATCAGACACTGCTCCAAAGTCACTGACATAGCAGTGCGGTCCTTGGCACTTTTACAGCTGGTAAAACGTACTCCATTTAGTCGCCGACAAATCTGAGTGAAGGGGCACAAATATTGTGTTTCAGCCTAACACATATTCACACTTATTCCAGTTCAGCATTCAAGTATCTTTTGAAATGGCACTAGAACCACTTAAAGGCCTTCAGATGCAAACTCTGTATATACAGTGGGTACGGAAAGTATTCAGACCCCCTTAAAATGTCAACAATTCTGTGTTTTTCTGTCAATATGGGGTGCTGTGTGTACATTAATGAGGAAAAAAAATTAACTTAAATGATTTTAGCAAATGGCTGCAATATAACAAAGAGTGAAAAATTTAAGGGGGTCTGAATACTTTCCGTACCCACTGTATATATAAACTTTTTGACTTCATATGCTCATGTTATTAAGGGTGCACCAATTAACCCAGTGGTTCTCAATCCTTTTGATTTGAAGGCATCTCATGATCCAACACAATATTAAATAAAATTGGCTAAGACAGGTATTTCTGTTGTAATTATGATAATACAGCTTTTCAAACTTTTTATTAGCAGAAACTGGGAGTGTTGATATATTAAATTAAAGATAAATAATTTTGTGATCCCAGAGCATCTAAGATTCTTGTTCTATTATTTAATAATAAAAATGTTATTGGGGAAGAAATAAAGAAACATGATTTCAGTTTGTATCCTAATATTTTATGATTTTAGCATTTTAATCAATTAACTTTTTAAAGATTTTTTAATTTAACAATTTAAGTCTCCTTTTGTGGGTGCCTTGGAAGTTTTGTGAGGCCCCCTCTGGTTGAATACCACTGAATTATCTTACACTTAAAATATTTCTGATGAAGAGTCTGATGAAGAGCCTGCATGCTCGAAACGTCACCTATGTGATAGCCTGTTATTACATTTTTGTATCTCTGGAGCCCAGGTGTGCTGACGTTTTTCTATTTTCATGATCAATTTTTTGTCAAGCACCCTGTTGGAGAGTTTTTCCAGGGATGTGTGTGTGCTTTTGTTTTGATTCCATGTTTACACTTAGTATATTTAGTATATGCATTCTAAATGTTAGATTTTAGCTTCAACAATAACTTGTTTTTTTTTTTAAATGTCATGTAAACTGTCTGAAATCACAATTATCAGATTACAACTGGCCTTAATGTTGTGCGCTTATGTTGAAAGACAGAGGTGACGTGCGATGTGTATTCTTAGACATTGTAGCTCGACTCCACAAAAACCCAATGTAGCTTAATTATAACTACACATGCAAAATTACTGAATGTGATCCGCCAATATACCCGAACATGCATTATGCCTACTGTATGTGCATAAGACTGCAGCAAAATACACCAATGCAAATTACATTTCGTAAAATGTTGACTTCTATTGGATTATCAGTAACGAAGATTTATTTTTTTCAGGGTTTTACATAGGCTTGCAGTTTATTTTTTTCTCTATGTATAACTATACAATAATTTAGTGACAAAGAGAACTGCTGTGATTAAAATGGATTGAAAAAGGACACCTCACAACGTAAACATTTAATATTTCTATTTTCAGAGGTGTCAGTACAAATTAGATGCACTCAAACATGGATTTTACTCTATTTCGGACATGAAAACTATGGGTGATGAAGTTTTTCTTTGTTTTTTTTTTTTTAATGAGAATAGTTTTAAATGAAAACAATGCCAAATGGGTTTGAGCAATTATTTGAATATAATTTAGTAGTAGAAGAACCGTTACCTCTGCAGCCTGCCACAAGATGTCTACATTTTTATTTTTCCTAGCATGAACATTTTGACCAAGGAACCGCAACAGCTCTGGGAGACACGTCTGACTACGAGAGCGAGGAAGACCTGAGAGAGACAGAAAATTAAAACCAGAGTGACTTGTATAATTCAAATATATTTTTGGTTATGTAGAGAGGGAAAAAAACATAAGAGAAGAGTGATAACTTACAGTCGTCAGGTAAAACCTCTTTGAACTGCTGGTAGTAAGAGCTAAGACGTGCCAGGCTCTCCACATTGATGAGCTCCTGAAGCGACGTGTCTCCAAACCTACAACACAAACATTTTGATTTTCCCTTTAGATATCTTCAATATGAACACAAGTGTATGCCAAACTGAAAAAGAGATCAGATAAATCAAACAATTATGATATACTGATATTGATAATTATAATTATGATAATGTTGTTTGTTGATGTTATGCAAGCACTCTTGTGGAGTGTTTTACATAATCAGGACTCACTTCTCGGCGAGCGTTTGCTGCTCGTTGATGCCCACGTTGAACAGCACCGGCTGTACCCGCAGCAGCATGCCATTCTGGATCTCCCTTGGCAATGCATCAAACATGCTTCCCGGGAGCGGGATGCGAACGTTGAACCCGTCTCTATTTCCGGTGATCACCGGCAGCATGTCGGGGGAAGAGGTAGAGATGGCCTGCGTCACCTTGAACGTCACATTTCGAAGATCCATTATTCCTATGCTCATGTCCTCTAACATGGCTAACTCCTCTCCTGTGAAACATACAACAAAGCAAAACCACTGTAGTCAGTGTAACATGTTTCAGAACAGAGCGCTTCACTCACATAGAAATGATGAATAAGAATTGTGCTCTAAATGAGTTTACATAACACAAGTGATTCAGTGGTCACCGTGCATCCAGGTTCAAAGTATGGGCATAGTGTGTGTGTAAGTGTGTGTTTACCATAAGTACTTAATAGGCACTCGAACTGAGCGAGCAGACCGATGGTGTAAAGCTGTCTCAGGAAACCATCGTCACGGAGACAGTTTCTCAGTTTGATGATGAAGCCACAAATTAGTGCTGTGAGCTTAAGAGAGGCAAAAAGACAGAGCAAGAAGACATTCGTCAGAAAATGACAGAAAAACAGGTGTAGAGGAACAGTTCACCCAAAAACATCATGTCATTCCAAACCCGTAAGACTTTTGTGAATCTTCGGAACACAAATGAAGCTATTTTTCATGAAACTGTGTGATTTATGTCCCTCCAATGAAAGTCCATTCATCCAAAACTTTTACGTTTTTATGAACTTTTCATAGTGTCAAAGAAATCCATATCAATCAAGCAGTTTAATCAAAGTCTTCTCAAGGGACATGATCACTTTATATGATGAAAAGGTTTAATTTATGCTTTTTTCCACATAAGCATTGATTAGTGCACATACATTGAGCACGAGGGTAAACAGAAGCTCAAACTTGCTTGCTCATGTGGTTTGTTCTTGTGCGTGAAGAAAGTGTGGTTGAGCTGCCGTTTATCATATTTGATGTGCTCTATGATGTGCTTAATGTTTTTAGATGTAAATAAAAATCTGTTAATCATATAAAACAATTGTTTCTCTTCAGAAGACTTGAATTGAACTGCTCGATTCATATCAATTTATTTGAGTCTTTTTGAATTGTCTTTCGTTTCAGTGGCAGACATCTGTCAAGTTTTATTAAAAATATCTTCATTTGTGACCCTGGACCACAAAACCAGTCTTAAGTAGCATGGGTATATTTGTAGCAATAGCAAAAAATACATTGTAGGGGTCAAAATGATCGATTTTTCTTTTATGCCAAAAAACATTAGGATATTAAGTCAAGATCATGTTCCATGAAAATGTCCTACTGTGAATATATCAAAACTTAATTTTTTATTAGTAATAAGCCTAGCTAAGGACTTCATTTGGACAACTCTAAAGGCGATTTTCTCAATATTTTAAATTTTTTGCACCCTCAGATTCCAGATTCTCAAACAGTTGTATCTTGGCCAAATATTGTACTATCCTAACAAACCATACATCAATGGAAAGCTTATGTATTCTGCTTTCAGCTGATGTATAAATCTCAATTTCAAAAAATTGACCCTTATTTTTTTTTGTGGTTTTGTGGTGTAGGGTCACATTTGTGTTTTGAAAATGAACCAGTCTTCTAATCTTGGAAAGACATGAGGTTGAGTAAATGATTTTTAAGGGTGAACTATTCCTTTAAGGTTATGTATGTGTTCACTAATGTGTTTGAGAACTAACTGTCTGGCAGAAGACCACGTCTCGGCGGTACTGCAGGTTGAGGTCCATTGCGATGGTGGGTGCGCTGTCTTGCATGAGCAAGAAAACCATTGACTTCTTGGCTTTGTCGCTCATCATGGCCACACACTCTGTTAGGGTCGTCAAGAGGGGATACAGAGCCTCGCTCCACTCACCTGACACACACAAAGAATCTGCTGCTAATATCTTTATTAAACATCACATATTTACATGTTTCTTTAAATTCTCATGTTTCACTTTAAAGACCCCACTAAATCAAAATGTAAGGTTTGTTGCTTTTAGTCTGTTTATTAGCGCAAAGATTAAAATTTTGTCATAATTTATTCACCCTCACGTCGCATTATTAGACTTCCATTTATCTTTGCAGCACAAATGCAGATATTTTTAAATGAAATCTGAAAGATTTCTGTCCATTCATTGAAAATCCATTCTACTAAACTTCATTAAAGTTAATTAAAGACACTGTAAAAGTAATCCATACGAATAGTTTGTTCAACAAATAAATAGTCAACTAAAGCTTGTGCATGCGTGGTGTGCGAGAACCAACGAAGTCGCGCGAGCACAAGTTTGAAGAATCAATGAGGTTTGAGCTTCCGTTGACCATATTTGATGTGGTCTCTATGTACGTGCGTTAATCAATGTTTACATGTGAATAAAAGCCTAAATTGAAGTGGTTGTGTCTCTTCAGAAGACTGAAATAGCTTGATTCATATGGATATGGATTCATACATTTATGTTTTTTATGAACTTTTTGATTTGTTAAAGTTTTGGCAGACTTTCAGATTTAATTTCAATTATCTTCATTTATGTTTTGAACATGAATGAAAGTCTCATGGGATTGGAACAACATAAGGGTGAGTAACTGATGGCTATATTTTGATGTTTGTGTGAACTAACCCTTTAAGGTAATCTCTATACTAGGTTAATAGTAAACACTGACAAAAAATGATTTTAGGAGATATATGCCCATAAAGTTTACAATCCATCTTTTTTCAGGAATACAGATTTAAAAAGGTGATGAGATTTTTTTTTCCCAATTACATTTCTAGAACTGGAAAGTTTGTTTACCCCAGAAATTATAAATACCACTACAATAATATGCTTCCCGTAAGAGTGTACTAGTAGTAGTATATTTTTATTTAATGCCAATTGTAAAAAAAAAAAAATTCAAAAATACAAGTATAACAAATACAATAAAAACCAGCAAACAAAAGCAAGTTATATTACACAAGATTCCCGTAAGAGTGAATTACATTTTTAGTATACTATATGCCAGGGCCGTCCTTAGCTGACGCGGGGCCCGGTGCGAGGTAGGGAGCGGGGCCCCCTCGGTCCGTTTGCGATCGCGTTCCGGGGTGGGTGGGGGTGTTCTCCCTCGGTTCATTCGCCGCGGGGCCCCCTCAAGCGCGGGGCCCGATGCGACCGCACCAGCTGCACCCCCCCTAAGGACGGCCCTGCTATATGTATACTTTTGAGTATATATTTTAAGCATTTTTAAATGCTGCTGGCCATTTAAAAAAAGGACAAATTTTTTGATATGTTGTGCCGCGACTTCCTGTTTAAATAAAATATTTTAACACATCAGGGGTACACAAGCCAATTCACAGGGACTTTAAAAGTAAACGTGGGTGGACAGAGTTCAGAAAACAGTAGCAATGACAAGTTTACAAGAAACACCATTAACAAGGAAGAACAACAACAACAACAGATGTGACATAAAAGTAAACACAAATTCAGCAAAAGCGCATAAGCTTAAGGGGCGAAGGAGCTCCTACCTGGGTAACTCTCCTCTCCACTGCTGCTGCTGCCATCTAGAGGATGGAGGTGCAACATGCAACAGTTAACTTAGCGAGTGCAACTAGCATAGCGCACGCAGCTCACATAGACATTGAATACAACGTAAGACAGCAGCAACTTTACAACATAGATTTAACAACTACTGTTTTTCCACTAAAATGCAAAGTGGAATGCTGGATAGGTTTGCCTAGATACAATATGTAAGTAATATTCACAGCTGCCTGGCAAGCTAATGATTTCATAGTCATTATATAATGGAAAAGGCTACTGTAAAATCACAGCATGCTAGCACTGCCAAGTGACTAACTGGCACAGACAGCCAGCACCAGACAGACAGCCTGTGAGCCTGTTAGCCAGCCAGCCAATCAAACGAGAGCATCCGGTCACATGTTCACAGTAGGCAAATATGCTGGGTCAAACAACAGAATGTTCCAGAAACATGTTCCAGAGACATGGCACATCAACAGAGAGTCACACAGAGTCAACACACATTCATTAACATAAACTGTGGAATTCACTTGGATGTCAGTTTTTCCATACATTCATATTGCTTTGTTTTGGCAAAAAGTAAACAAATATACACATACTACTCGACTCAAATCAGACAACATACACAATTATGCATAACAGATACCTAGGTAAAAAATACAGATGATGAGGTGGATTAGAAACAATGGGAGAAGAATTTCAAGCCACAACCAGTCAAGTAAAAGTAATATAAATGCTAGTTGCTATGGCAGCATGCAAACCTGTTTGAAGATGAACAGGTGACAGGGTTTGTGAAAAACAGAGACTGAAAGTGTAATAACTATTAAAGCAAGAAGAGATGAGTATGTACATGTGTTAGTGTCTGTACCACTATAGAAACACAATGGACAAGCAGCAGGGAATGTGAAGCAGAGTGCAGAAGGCAGAAAAATGTAACATTTGGAATTGATGAGACTCTGCCAACTAGGCCCGATGGCTGTTCTTAAAAATATAACAGAGAGAGAGAGAGAGGTGTGAACAAGACAGTGAAAGGCACCTACAGGCATGTGTTTCTGCATTAACAGGGCATGCAGGGTTCAGATCGGGTGGTGAAGATGGTGAAGGTGACTGTTGTTGCGGTTCAGGGACAGAGGAAGGCTCCTCCATGCAGACAGGGTTGATCCAGAAGGCTTTTGTTTTCCCATTACCTTTCTTACTGGTGCCACTTTGCTGGTCAGTCTGGAACATGTCCTCACTGCTGCTGCTGTGCAAACGGTCCCTCTGCAGCAGTTTGTCCACTCGCTGGATGATACACTCCAGACTTTTGTCAACATTCCCCCACACCTTTTCCTGTGACAAAGAAACTGTTTGTACAAAGTGCAAATTTTGGGCACAAACATATGCATGAAAACATTTTTAAACAAAATGATGCACTCATTCAGAGATTTCTGTCCCCCAAAATTTTAACACTTCAAAAAATTAATAACACCTTAAAAGTAATCCATCTGAATCGAGTGGTTTAATCCAAGTCTTCTGAAGAGACACAATCACTTTATATGATTTAATTTAGGCTTTTATTTACATTGTTAAAAGTGAAAGCATGCATTTTTATAATAATAATAATAATAATAATGTTTATTGTTTTAGGAAAAATGGTTAATTTAGGGATTTTTGGGGAGTATTTTCTTTATCAGCATTTCAATTTTCTTCATCTGGGTTTCAATAAAACCAGTATTGAGCAAACCTGATCAAGTGAAACCTGAATTCAAACTAAAACCTTATCAAGTTGATAAACTGATCAAATGTGACAGTTCTGTGACAGAACTTTTACATTGTCACGGAAAAATGTTTTTTTTTTAAATAATATTATTTGGAATGATTTATTCATTAAAGAATCCTGAAAAAAATGTAACATGATATCCACAAAATATTTAGCAGTACAACGGTTTTCAACATTGATAATTATAAGAAATGTTTACTAATCAGCATATTAGTAAGATTTCTGAAGGATCATGTGACACTGAAGACTGGAGTAATGACTGCTGCTGGAGTAAATTCAGCTTTGCCATCACAGTAATTAATTACACTTTAATATACTTAAATAGAAAATAGTTATTTACAACAGAAATAATATTTCACAATATGACTTTTTACTGTATGATCAAGCAAATAAATGCTTAAGAGACTTCTTTCAAAAACTTTGACTTCACACTTTTGAATGGTAGTTTATGTCAAGATTAACAACAGATCAGATTACAAAATATTTTAATTCATATATCCAAACTGCTGTCTGAGAATGTAAAATGTGTAAAAAGTGTAAATATTGTCAGTAAATATTTTACACTTTATTTAAAGGATATTTTATAGTTTACTTCAAATGGTTATGTTACAATTAGTGCTGGGCAACGATTAATCGTCCAAAATAAAAGTTTCTGTTTATTTAATATATGTGTGTGTACTGTGTATATTTATTATGTATATATAAAGATACACACACCCAAGTATATATTTTGAAAATATTTAAATGTATATATTTATATTATATGTAAACATACTGAATATATAAGCATAACATATTTTTCTTAAATATACACATGCATGTGTGTGTATTTATATACACATAATAAATATACACAGTACACACACATACATTATGTACACAAAAACTTTTATTTGGGATGTGATTAATCGCGATTAATCGTTGCCCCAGCACTAGTTATAATACATTTGTTGTTAACAGGCCTCTAAATCCTTCTTACCCACTCTTCCTCATGCCAATCAACATGGAGGGACGAACGACTGTTTCTGCCACTCCATTTGGCCAGTAGTGTGTCCTGATCATTCCTCAGCACCACCTGCTCTGAGTCAGCAGAGGGCGAGTTTTTAGAGGCGATGTACTCGGGTCTAGCTGCGTTCAGGGCCTGCACTGCAGACGCCAGCAGTTTACAGTCACACACCATCACCAGCTGCCGTGTCTGAAAGTGAGAGAGAAAAAGGGGTTATAATGCCAAATTCAGACCACACTGGGTCCAAGTTAGAAAAATTAAATTTGTTAATTTGTATGATCAAATGGATATAAAGTACTCTGACACCCACCTTATCCGCTAGGATGGCGAGGGTTCTCTCCATGCTGTTAGCGGAGCGTTCTTTAGCGGCACGAGACAGGCGCTCAGCGTAGTAGCTGACCTGAGTCTTGAGCGTGTTGATATGGGAGATGATCTCTTTGGCACGGATAATATCCTGAGGGATGTAGACTATGGACTGGGAGCTGGACAGAGCACTGCTGCTAGACCAGAGAGAGCTTGGTTACTTAAAAACACCATACAAGCAATAAACGCACATGCACTTTACTACATTAGTACACAACAACAGACAGATAATGATTGTGCATTTCATTCAGACAGTGATGCTCCAGAGACTTTGACAAGCACCAAACACTTCAGGTCCTCAAACTTGATTTTTCAGAGCAAAGAGAACAAGGTGCTCAGGGATGAACAAACGGGGTTATTTGTGCTGCAGGAGAATTATGCCATCAGTCCTTTAAATGGCAGATCTGTTTCACTAAGTGCTTCAATACAATACAAAGGTGCAGTGAAGTGTGCTTGTACATCTTCGATGAACAGACAGTATAATTTCAGGAAACACATATGGCTGAGTGAACCTGTAAAGAACCAGGTCATATTTCACCTCTGTTTTAAATGTGATATGCAAGACACTGCATTTTGCATAAAGAAAAATATGTCTATTTTTAGGGTCCATTAATTTTAGTCCTATTTTTTTCAACTGAGATAGTCACTACAAAAAAAACTTGTCAAAAATAACTGTAATGATAACTCATTTTAATTATTGATTATTATTAACTGACTGCTAGAGATTATTTAAAAATTAAAAACTAGTTTATATATTATTTAAATTGTAAAATAAAGTGTTGCTAATTAAATAAAAAGGTACTGAATTTAATTTATGCTGAGACTGAGGTTTTTCAAAATTTAATTAGTGAGAAACTTTTTCTTCAATTTTTATGAAAAATGTGTCACAATGCAATTATCAAATGACCCTAAAATATGTGCACAATTGTCTTTATGCATATTAATATATACTCTTTTGTTTTAGGGACTTCATACTGTACAACCCAGACATTTATACATGAGATTCCCCCAAGTTATTGCAGTACAACAGCATAAATGACTAAAAAAAGATTAAACAAGAAGCACAGATATATATGTGTGTGCTCAGCAAAAGACAATTATATGACTTTTTATTCAAACACACAGACTCCTATTACTCTTTTGTAGCGACTACAGAAAAGGGATGATGGAATCACAGAATAATGAATATCGTTCTGTTTCAAAACGTAGTGAGGCAGTGTAGGCATCATATGCGCTCATCCGGCGCAAAGCCTGTTTCACAACATAGGCAATCTAATTATGCTGCCTCCAAATTTTAAGACAACATTAAAGGCAACCCCAAAATGCATTAGATGAGCTCTGGTTATAATGCTGCAGCTCACTAGGTTTTAAATCAGAGATGTCATGCAATAAATGGCACAAAAAACAAACAAACAAAAAAATAAGTTCAAACTAACTCACCATTCCTCCTCATAAATGCTGATTAGAAAGCAAAAATGCAATTAAAACGTATGAAAAATAAACTAAGAGTGTATCTTAAAAGGGAAACTGCTACTGATGTAACACTAGCAAACCAACACATAACCAAAAGCAGCCCAGAAGGTGACAAACACTAAGAGCAATGATTTTGAAAGTAGAGTACAGTTAGTACAGTAAAAAGTACAGTACAGTTATAAATACAATAGTTAGCTAGCAAAAACTCTAGTGCGATTTTAAATGTTTATAAAGGTTTTTTTTTTTTTTTAATAGTCTTCTCCTTAATGAATGAACTCACACACACATTTATTTCCTGTTAATATATTACAGCAAAAAGGAAACAGATAAAGTTTACTTAAGTGAAACTACCAGACAGCCATTTAACAAAACAGATATAAACTGCCATCTGTGACTTGGGACATTACCACAAATTTAATCCACATGATAGCTCTTCCTTCACATGCAACACATGCACGTACATGTGAACACATACGTACAGTACACTTTAAGTTAATATCTTGCATATTTTCAAAGTTAGATTCAAAACGTGACTTACACTTTTTTTGCCTCCTCAAATTTCTGTAATAGTTTCCGCAAACCACCAGTTTTGAAGCCCTGGCAGTGAGCTGCAGGGGCCCCGATCGTAACCACATCATAGGTGTGATCTAGATACACAAACACACACATCCATGTCACAAAATGAACAACTTAGTTCTTAATATGTAATTATTGTCAGTATTTGAAAATAATTGAATAATAGTGACCCTGCACATTGACATGAAGATCAGTAGTGTAACACACATGTATCTCACACTACTCTGGACATCCATTTCTGCCTCAGAGTTAAAAATTATAAGTGAGTTTACAATAAGAAATAATGTCGCAGATATAAAGTTGTGAGAAATAAAGCCACATTACAAGATATAAAGTCACAACTGGGAGATAAAGTTGTACTACAAGATACACATTTGGAATAACAAGGAATAAAGTTGCATTCTGATATATGTTGCAATTACAGGGGAAAAAAAAGTAATGAGAAGTCACATTGTGAGTAATGAGGTCACACTGCAATATATAAAGTCATAATTGGGAGGCATAAAGTCGTGGTACGAGATACACATTTGCATATATGCAAAATAGTTGCATTGTGAAATACAAAGTAAAGTTACATTACGAGATAAAAAGTCACAAATACATTAAAAAAAAAAATCACAAGACGTTGAATTGTAAGCTATTAAGTCACAAGTGTGAGATACAGTCGTACTGCAAGATAAAAAGTCACAATTATGTGAAAAAGTCATGAGAAACTGCACTGTAATACTGTATCTACAAAGTTCTGAAAGAACCAATCACTGATTGGTAAAGTCATTGTGTCACTGCAGCGGCCGTTTGAAGCGCCAGTTCCCATAGAAACCTGAGGCTAGACCAGCCAATGCGCAATTGGGCATGCACAGTCATAGGCGCATTATAACTGCACATGCACATTGGCTAGTCTAGCCTGAAAAATAATTTTTTTAAACGCTATTTGAGCATAAAAAACAACATTCCTGGGGCAGTTCATTTCAGATTTTGTTGCTGATTTGAAATATGTAATTTATTTGCGAGTTCAGCAAGCAGTTTTTGAGATTTCAGCATTCATTTAGATGGTCTTGTATGAGCTGCAGGCGTTGCAAATATGGCCGCAGAGTAAGGTTGTGACGGTGAGGAAATTTTCCCACTGGTTAATCGACGTGTGACAACACTGATAATACACGCATCACCGCGGGGGCAGGGGCATTCCCTCTTTTCCTTCACTTTTAAATAGCTTGTAAAAGCGGCGTGCGCATTTTACTTTCACTTTCAAATAGCGGCAATTCGGTGTAAAGCAATTGTTCGTTTTTAGTTTGTTTGAAATGTCCCTCTGTTCCTCGCTTTTAAATAGCTTAAAAGCACCGTGCGCATTTTATTACACAATTAGCGGCAATTCGGCGTTAATTGCTTGAATGCAACAACACAATACAACGTCAAACTCACTTTAGCCTATATATAAAACATAGAACTTTCATTAACAAAACGAATAAAAATACACCATGCTATAGGGCAGGCTATGCCTAATATAAAATAACAAATAACTTACATAAATTTTAAATAGGTATACAAAACTGGAAAAGAGTAAACATGTATAATATATAACCAAATAAATAAGAAACGTAGAACGTTTATTAGCAAAATGAATAAGAAAGCTTGGAGGCATGGCATACACCTTGATGTCAAATAAAATAAATAAATTACACAAAGTTTAAATAAAGTAAATATCAGCAAACACTGTGGAACCAATTAAATAAGAAACGAATGTTTAAAAAAACTTCCAAAATCACCATAGATAAACAGCAAAAGTCAACAGGCTTTTCAAAATCCAAAATACTGCCAAACATGCGCTTTTGCATTTCGTTTCGAAACTAAATCATCCGTCATCGTCTTCTCTGTCTCACCCCACTCTTCTTGTCAGTCAACTCGACTCACTCTCCTCACTGGATAAATGAAATCTGATCTGTGATGCGACTGTCGTTCGGCATGCTGCATTGAGCATCCGCGTTCAGTTTTAAATTGTAGTGTCTGTTCTTTTACTGAACTAAATGATTTTTATTACTATAAAAAAACTAAATGACGGTGGGGGTCGGTGCCACGGTGGGCAAGTGACATAACCGGTGTTGCGGCTTAACAACGGTATCACCGTCAGCACCATCTATCGCGGCAAGCCTACCGCAGAGTGAAAGACTTTCCTTGAAAGGGACTTTGTCAACATTCAAATACTTGGCTAGTGCTTGCTGTAGCAGTTTCAACTCGTTTCAGAAACCCTCCACCTTCCCCAGCTCCACCTGTATAGATCTGCTACAGGGAAATGCCATGTATGTTATATATGGGGATTGTTTCATATATGTTATATGTGCAGCAGCAGAAATGTCTCTCATGTAGCACTATAGTTTGAGAAGTGTAATTGCAAGACTGGAGGGGTCAAAACTAAAAGAACATCAGTGATCGTCTGAGTGTGTGTTTGTGCTGAGTGCATGAAAACTTCTGTATGAGCGACTATTTACATGTGCTAAGTGCTCTGAATAACACCTCCTACTGCCTGCTGGGATTGAATCAGTAAAGAGCACATACACCAAAGTGCCCAACAAGAATATAGAGCAGTGACAAAACCCTTTCAAACAGAGGGAAATAATGAAAAGGGGAAGAGGATGACTAATGAAATAATAACACAGAATGAATTAAATATATCTAACCGCAGCCAGACTCATCCTGAGCCCTCATTCTCTGCACATGAAGATTGGTAGGCATAAATTCCAATTTCCTCTCTGCTTTCAGATTACTGGCTTTAAATGATGGACCTGTAAGACAGAGAGATAGAGAGAGAAAGAAATCTCTTGACACCCCTTTATCATTCAAACAGGGTAGACATGTCTACTATTCTTAGACTTTCAGGTCACTGGAGAATCTTTCAAAGAATTCTGGGTCATCTGAAAGAGTTTTCTACCAGTTTAACCCTATAAAGTCAACTCTTATTATCATATTTGACATGCAAATAAAAATAAAAAACCCTCTAAATTATCAACGTTTAAAACTTTGCTGAAAAACGTGTTGTATCTAATGCATGCCTTCTGTTGTCTAATTAATAATTTATACATTTTAGGAAGTTAAAAGAATCATCAAAATGTCTAGCCTTCATGTCATGGTACACAAGTCTTTTTGCTGTGAACAAGTCTGCTTTTTTACTTTTATCAAGTAAACGTAATAATAACTAGTTTGTAATATTTCAAAATGAACACTTGACTGAAGCAACTTTGACTGAAGCAACTTGTTTATCCCAAAAATGCATGTAACAAATATGATACATCAGGCTGTTTCAATGTATTGCATTGCATTATATGTTTTGCCCCCACAATGAATACTACAGAGCTCATTAAAAACCGAACATTTATTATCTTACTAAAACATTTAATTGGGACAAATAGTGAGAATTATATTTATATGCATTTGATATAAGTAATTTGCTACACTGATAGTATAGTACATTGATCTACAAGCTATCAGAATTTCTTATTTTTTGGCCATATTAATATCAGCAACTGCACCAAATTGCAACTTTTTGCTCAGTTTTTTTGCCTCATGTAAGTGATTTCAATATAAATGCATGCATGTAAATATAATGACTTCATGCATTTTAGCTGGCATGGCCTTCATGAATTCCACAAGCGTAAGTCCTGATGACCAATTTCATGTTATGATTTAAGAATTATTTGATTAGTGACCTAGAAATAACGAAGAAACTTTTCTTCATTTTCTGTCATTTTTTAAATGTTCAAATGCTATCTTATTTCCAAATTTTAAATTATATTTTGAATCCAACACTATCAGTGTTACCTCACATCTTTGGATCCTACTCTATGATCATGTGTTCTTTTTGCACATCTTACACAAGTACAAGAAAGCTTGGAGGCATGGCATACACCTTGATGTCAAATAAAATAAATAAATTACACAAAGTTTAAATAAAGTAAATATCAGCAAACACTGTGGAACCAATTAAATAAGAAACGAATGTTTAAAAAAACTTCCAAAATCACCATAGATAAACAGCAAAAGTCAACAGGCTTTTCAAAATCCAAAATACTGCCAAACATGCGCTTTTGCATTTCGTTTCGAAACTAAATCATCCGTCATCGTCTTCTCTGTCTCACCCCACTCTTCTTGTCAGTCAACTCGACTCACTCTCCTCACTGGAGAAATGAAATCTGATCTGTGATGTAACTGTCGTCCAACTGCATTGAGCAGCCGCGTTCAGTTTGAACTAAAAGATTTTTATTACTATAAAAAATAAAAACGACGGTGGAGGTCGGTGACGCGGTGGGCAAGTGACGTAACCGGTGTTGCAGCTTAACAACGGTATCACCATCAGCACCGTCTATCGCGGCAAGCCTAATGTGTACCCAGCATACTGGTGGATGACATGCTGTTTAGGAGGAATTTCAAGTTTTTCAATATCGTTCTGTAAAAATGAGAATCGATTAATATCGAGATATCGATATTTTTTACCCAGCCCTAATAATTATATTTTAATTTTGTGATATGCCGTTTTAACAGTGTGTGTTTTAATTGTTTGGTTTTGGTGTAATTCATGTGTCATTACTATGAGACAACCTAAATTTCCCTCTGAGAAACTATTCATCTGTCTGTTCGTCCATTAGGGTTGTGACGGTGAGGAAATTTTCCCACCGGTTAATCGACGTGTGACAACACCGGTAATACCGGTATCACCGTGGGGACGGGGCGGGGGCGTTCCCTCTTTTCCTTCACTTTTAAATAGCTTGTAAAAGCGGCGTGCGCATTTTACTTTCACTTTCAAATAGCGGCAATTCGGTGTAAAGCAATTGTTCGTTTTTAGTTTGTTTGAAATGTCCCTCTGTTCCTCGCTTTTAAATAGCTTAAAAGCACCGTGCGCATTTTATTACACAATTAGCGGCAATTCGGCGTTAATTGCTTGAATGCAACAACACAATACAACGTCAAACTCACTTTAGCCTATATATAAAACATAGAACTTTCATTAACAAAACGAATAAAAATACACCATGCTATAGGGCAGGCTATGCCTAATATAAAATAACAAATAACTTACATAAA